CCAGTGGAGAAAGATCTTTCTGTCTCTCCTCCTCTCTGTAGTTCTGACTTTCCAATAAGAATAAATAAATCATGGGCCCGGCAGCGTGGCCTAGTAGCTAAAGTCCTCGCCTTGAATGCACTGGGATCCCATATGGGCGCTGGTTCTAATCCCAGCTGCTCCACTTCCCATCCAGCTCCCTGCTTGTGGCATGGGAAAGCAGTCAAGGATGACCCAAAGCCTTGGGACCCTGCACCCACGTGGGAGACCTGGAAGAAGTTCCTGGCTCCCGGCTTCGGATCAGCATAGCACCAGCCACTGTACTCACTTGGGGAGTGAATCATCAGATGGAAGATCTTCCTCTCTATATCTTCTCTCTGTATATCTGACTTCGTAAATAAATAAGTAAATCTTTAAAAAAAATAAATAAATCTTTAAAAAAAAAGAATAAATAAATCTTAAAAAAAAATCCAGCATCAAGAAAAGTAAAATGTATAGGGAATGTCATGGAGTTGGGAAGGCTTCATCTGTGATCACTAGTGGGACTGACATTGTAGCCCAGCAGATTAAGCTGTTCTCTAAGGCCTGGCCCAGCCCTGGCTGTTGCAGCCATCTAGCAAAGGGAAGATTCTCTCTCCCTTTGTAAGCTGCCTTTCAAATCAATAAATATATATATTTTGTGGCTGCAACTGCTGGAGCTGTGTTGATCCAAAGCCAGGAACCCTAAGCCTGGAGCTTTCTCTGGGTCTCCCATGTGGGTGCAGGGCCCCAAGACTCTGGGCTGTCCTAGACTGCTTTCCCAGGCTACAAGCAGGGAGCTGGATGGGAAGCAGGACCACTGGGATTAGAACCAATGTCCAAATGGGATCCCAGCATGTTAAAGGCGAGGACTTTAGCCCCTAGACTACTGCACCGGGCCCTAAATAAGATTTTTAAAAAACAATTTTTGTGATGTATTCAGAATGTGGCTTAAATAAACAAACTTTTCAGATTGGGATTTAGAAACATGAGCTGTTTTAGAATAGACAGTCTCAGTAAAAACGAGACCCTGAAAGATGAAGTGACCTACACACAGTCACCCAGCAGGTGCCAGAGCCCAGTTGCGAGCCTAACTCATCTGAATTTAAACAGCAGGCTTATTATTATTATTATTATTTTTAAGGATCAAATAAGTGTTTATCAATATTAACAACTTGGATATGATCTACCTTCTGAAACATCACAAAAAAGCCCAGCCTTTCTCTGGACCTGATTTTATTCTTCCTCCCTACCTCCTCCATGGCATTTTTTGAGCATGCATTTTTTTTTATTGTTGTTTACATTGTATTATGTGGTACAGTTTTATAGGCGCTGGGGATCCCCCCCACCCCTACCATACCCCTCCCCCCATGGTGGACTCCTCCACCTTGTTGCATAACAGCAGGCTTATTATTAATCAACACACAGATACTCATATTTGACTTTAGAATGCATTTCACAATTCTGCATAAATAGCAGAAAAAATCATTTCTTGAAAAACAAGTTATTAAAAAAATCCATGGGTATGATAACATCAAGATGTTTTCTACTAATTCTTAAAAATACTACTGAATGATGAGAATCAAGAAGCCAAGGCACCTTTTCAGAAAACAAAATCCTTTAACCCAATGAAATAAGACATAATTTGAATCTGCCTAACAGGTTTTCTCCTTTCTTTTATTTGTGTTTTTATTTAGGTAATTGGGCCAGACCTTATTGGTGGCTTCACCGACTATATCATAATACCAGTCCCCAAAATCACCGATAAAAGCCTTTTCCTTTCTGAAAAACGACAGTAAACATACACATTTTACTGAACTTGTAGTTGAATATTATTACTGAGAGCATTCTAATTCAAACTGTTTGTTTCTCTTTCCAAATAATGTTACCATCTGCAAAAAAAAAAAAAAAAAAAACTGTATTTATTCAGCCCAGTGCCGGTTCGCGTCCAGCAGTCCCGCTTCTCATCCAGCTCCCTGCCTGTGGCCTGGAAATGCAGTCGAGGACGGCCCAAAGCTTTGGGACCCTGCATGCATATGGAAAACCCAGAAGAAGCCCCTGTCTCCTGTCTTCAGATAGGTGCAGCTCTGGCCATTGTGGCCACTTGGGGATTGAATCATTGGATGGAAGATCTTCCTCTCTGTCTCGCCTCCTCTCTATATATCTGCCTTTCCAATAAAAATAAGTAAATCTTAAAATAATAATAATAATAAAACAAAACAAAATAAAGGTTGAGCAACATGGAGAAACAAAGAAAGAAGTATTTTCAATTGTCTGGACCAAGCCAAAAAGAGGAACCCCAAACTACACCTGCTTATTTCCTGTGGGTGGCAGGACCCCTGTACTTGAGCCATCTGCTGCCTCCCAGGGTACATTAGTAGAAAGCTGGATCAGAAGCAGATCACCCATGACTCAAATTGGCAAGCTAATATGGATGGGATGTCCCAAGTGGTGGCTTAACACATTGAGCCACAACATCCACCTATAAGCTACATTTTAAAAATTATTCCAGTGAAAACAATTTTAAAAGGCGTTTGATAGGCTATTAAGTCAAGGTCACCATTGCCCCCTTGTGGCCATTTCAAGGTCAGCTTCACTGAAAAAGTCCATTTTCATTTAGTAGCTATTGTTGAACTCTCACTATAAAGCAGAAATCGAAATACAAATTCTCAGTCTCAAAACAACGCCACAAAGTAGGCTACTAAAAATGATTTATTAATTGTTTTGAAGGCAGAACTGCATTGATAAAGGAAAGTTAGAGGGTGAGAGGGACAGAGAGAGAGATCTGTCCACTGGTTCACACCCCCAATGGCCACAATGGCCAGAGCTGAGTTGATCCAAAGTCAGGAGCAGGAGTGTTTTCTGGGTCTCCCATGTGGGTACAAGGTCCCAAGGCACTGGACTGTCCTCTACTGCTTTCCCAGGCTATAAGCAGGCAGCTGGATGAGAAGTGGAACAGCCAGGATATGAACTGGTACCTGTATAGGATCCTGTCACATGCAAGGTGAGATTTGGCTACTGAGCCATTATGCTGGGCCCATAATTAGACTGTAAAAAAGTAGTTTTCCCAATGTCAAGCAGCTCTTTAGTCAGTAAGCAGTATTTGAGGGCCAGCGTGTGGTGCAGAATTAAGCTGTTGCTTACAAGGCTAGCCTGCTCTATGGGAGAGTCAGTACAAGGCCTGGTTGTTCCACTGCTAACCCAGCTTCCTGCTAAGTCCTTGGGAAGGCAGCAGAATATGAACTGAGTGCTTAGACCCCTGCCACCCATAAGGGAGACAAGGATAAGAGTTTCTGACTTTGAGCTAGCCCTAAGAAAGAAAGAGAGAGATCCCATCTGCTGACTTGCTCCTTTGATGCCCAAAACACCCAGGCCAAAGTCAAGATCCAAGACCACTATTCAGGCGTTTCACAAAGGTGGTAGGGACCAACCATCTGAATTGCTCAAGGCTTCTATGCGGTGATATGGGGAACGGAGCCAAGGTTCAAAGCCAGGGACTCCACTGATGGGACAGGGGCTTCTCACTGGGACTTTAATCACTAAGCTTCATCTGCTCCTTCTTTAATCTCCTCCAGGTCTCCCACGCGGGTGCAGGGTCCCAAGGCCTAGGGCCGTCTTCGACTGCTTTCCCAGGCCACAGGCAGGGAGCTGGATGGGAAGTGGCGCTGCTGGGATTAGAATCAGCGTCCATATGGGATCCCAGCGTGTTCAGGGCAAGGACTTTAGCTACTAGGCCGCGCCACCAGGCTTCATCTGTTCCTTCTTGCAAGTCTTTGTTTACAACATGCATGTCTCTAAAGACTAATACCAAATATTTTAATCTGCTTTCTAGTTCTCATATGTGCTCTTAAAAGCAAATCAAGATTTTTTTATACTAGATTTATTTACTTATATTGGAAGATCAGATTTACAGGGAGAAGAAAAGACAGAGAGAAAAATTTTCCATCTACTGATTCACTCCCTAAGTGACCGCAACAGCCAGAGCTGAACTGATCCAATGCCAGGTGTCAGGAGCTGCTTCAGGGTCTGCCATGCAGGTGTGGGGTCCCAAGGTCTCGGGCCATCCTCTACGGTTTTCCCAGGCCACAAGCAGGGAGCTGGTGGGGAACTGGAGCAGCCAGGACACGAACAGGCACCTATATGGGATCCTGGCACATGTGAGGTGAGATTTGGTGAATGAGCCATCCTTGTTTTGTTTTAGAAGGGATAGGGAATATTTTATCTGCCAAGGGCCACTTGGATAGTTGTAACATCATCTGTGGGCCAAAGTTATCAACTTAAAAATAAGCCTGATACAGATTTATTCAATTTTGAACCCTACTTGCAACTGCCTTGGTTGGACAAGACCAAATGATTCTGTAAGCTTCCTTTTTACACTCCATTGGCTAGTTGTTCCCCACTCCTTGTTTAAATTATGAATACCAGGACCAGTGTTGTGACTCAACTGGCTAATCCTCTACCTCCAAGTGCCTGGATCTCATATGGATGCTGTTCTCCTTCCCATTCAGCTCCCTGCTTACGGCCTGGGAAAGCAGCAGAGGACGGTGCAAAGCCTTGGGATCTTGTGCCTGTGTGAGAGACCCAGAAGCAGCTCTGGCTTTTGGCTTTGGATGGGCAGAACTCCGGATGTGAACCAGCAGACAAAAGATCTTTGTATCTCCTTCTCTCTCTGTAAATCTGCCTTTCTGATAAAAATAAAATAAACCTTAAAAAAAACTTCAAACCAGATTATGAATACTATACTCTTATATTTTAATTTTGAGGTCAGGAATAACGCTTTAATATGATAGTCTATAGAAATTTTTAAAAACAATTATACCCTTATAATTTCCTTGTTTAATTTCTTCCCCAGAATAAGTGGCTTGACTTTAAAATCTTGCAAATCTTCTGTTTGGGAACTATTTTAATACAACAGGTTTTAGGATATCTTTGCATCTCTAAAAAAACCTGGAGGCTTGTTCATTATTAAGCAGAAAATAAATGCCGTATTACTAAAACATTACCTGAGGTTGCTTTGCTGTTGTTTGATGAAACCAAGCTGGCAAGGTTAACAACCTCCCCTGATGTGAAGATGAACGGAGTGGTCACGGTCACGGGATTAGTCATGGGGTTTCCTCTCTCTGAATTAGCATTCACCTGATTCTGCATTGCTTCCTACCAAACGAGGCAGGATATTCCAGTCAGTACACTTACCAGACTTAGCGACACAGTTACCGAGCAACATCAAGCTTCCTTCCTCCCCCTTGCCCTATCATGTGAACTGACACACAGTCCCAGCGAGCTTACAGCTCTCATTAAGAGAACTACTGCTTTATTTAATTTCCCCCCAGAGAAGGACAACAGAGAGGTTAATCTGCTTTCCCAAGTCTGTTTCTATCTGAGAAGAGCAAAGGTATATTATTTGCAAAAGCTTCTAGGAATTCACTTTTATTTATTTATTTGAGAATGAGGTAATTGACATCAATAGTCTACAAAGTTATTTCTAGCACTAATACACTGTGATCTCTTGTCTGCGATTCAGCATGCTAGCACGGTATCTCCGCAGAGCACCCGCAGGGAACACCACTCTCGAGGCTTCACTCAAGTACTTGTTCCATAAGGAAATTCCTAAGAGAACATATAACAAGCAGATAGATGAATGCCAGATTCTAAATTCTAGTTCTGCATGCTGCACTTTCTCAATTTTGGAGAAAAGATGCTTATCTTTATTTATGTTTTTAGAAACAGTTTTCTACAAATATGACCAGAACCTACAAAGTCCATTTATGAATAGGTTTTAAACAAAGAACTGAAGGTCAAAGGTGAGAACCAGTCCTCTAAGAACCATATGTGAGGAAAAAGGGATAGAGGGCTGGAGCCAGCACAATGGCTCAACTAGATAATCTGGGCACCAGTTTGTATTCCCATCCAGCTCCCTGCTGTGGTCTGGGAAAGCAGTGGAGGATGGCCCAAACCCTTGGGAGCCTGCACCTGCGTGGGAGAGCAGGAAGAAGCTCCTGGCTTCAGATCAGCTCAGCTCTGGCCAAATGGGGAGTGAACTAGTAGATGGAAGATCTTACTCTCCGTAAATCTGCCTTCCCAATTAAAAAAATAATAATAAACCTTTAGAAAGAAAAAGAACTAGAAAGCTGAACATACAGCAGAGATGGCTATTTTTCATCTATACAATCATCCTTTTGATGAACTTCCACCAAAACATGATTCATCTCCTGAGTCCTCTTAAACTCCTTGAAACTGTACCTTTTTCTATCTTCCACTATCACTGTCTCGGGTCAATCCCTCATTGGCTCTTGCCTGGCCTAATGAAAATAAAACATAAACATTCAGCACTGAGTGTTCTCTGTCTCTTGTTTTTGTAAACAATCGTCACTTCCGAATGAATATCATCTTAACAATCTACTATTTTAAAGGTTCTACCGGATGCACATTGCCCACATTATAATATAAACTGCTTTGTCTACCATGACTGCCCTACATTCATTAGAATCTGCCATCCCTAAACTACACTTTCTCTGCATGTTCTCCAGCTAGACATTTATTATTTTCTTAATACTCTCATCCCTTTCACACTAACCTTTGATTTCTTTTTCAAACCTAGAATATAATTTTCTCATTTTGCCCTCAAAAGTTTGTTCAGATTTCATATTTACTTTAAGCTTCTCTCATTTATTCAAAACTCAGAGTAAAAGAGAGAGAGCGCGAGCTTCTACCCCCTGGTTCGCATCCCAAATGCCTGCAACTGTTGGGGCTAGGTCAAGCCCAAACCAGGGTCCCAGAACTCTACCCTGTTCTCACACGAAGGTAGTAGGGACCCAAGCCCTTGTCTCTCATCTGCTGCACTCCCAGGGCATCAGCAGGAAGCTGGATCGAAAGTACAGCAGCTGAGACTCAAACAGGCACTCTGATACGGGATGCTGCTTTCACAAGCCAGGGCTTAACCTGCTATGTCACAATATTGGTCCCTTCAACATCATTACATTAATACTCTCCCTTTTGTATCCTTGTAATACTTGCTGGACAGACTGACCTCAGAGTATTATAATACCTTTTCCTTCATTTCTTTCCTTGAGATTTTATCTATTTGAAAGGCAGAATTAGGAAGGGGGAGAGAGAGTGAGTTCTGCCATTCATTGGTTCATTACCCAAATGGCTCCAACAGGTTGAAGCCAGAAGCTGGGAGCATATTCCAGGTCTTCTACTAGGGTGCAGTGGTCCCAACAACTTGGGCTATCCCTGTTGCTTTCCCAGGTGCATTAGCAAGGAGCTGAATCTGAAGTGGAGCAAATGGGACTCAAACTTCCACCCACATGGGATGCCAGCACTGCAGATGGCAGCTTAACTTGCTGCGCCACATTGTCAACCCCCCCATAATGCCTCATTTCTTGTTTTTACTTTAAAATTGAAGAGGGCCTGGGCTATGCCCTCTTCGATTTATTTGTTTTCTATCCTTTTGTTCCCATATATACGAGTGCTAGCTTAGGAAATTAATGGAGAAGGGGCTGGTGGTTGGTCCTGCCAGTTAGCTGCTGTTTGTGAAGCCAGCATCCCATATTGGAGTGCCAGTGTTCAATCTTAGCTGTTCTGCTTCCAATCCACCTCCTTGCTAATGTACCTGAAAAGCACATGGGCTCTTGCCATGCACGTGGAAAGCCTGGATGGATTTCTGAGTTCCTGCTTTGAGTCCGACCCAGACTGGCTGTTGCGGCTACTTGGAGAGTGAACCAGTGGATGGAAGATCAAGCTCTCTCTTCTTGTAAAGAAAATAATGAATGAAATAATTATAGCTAACTTTAAACTCTAAGACAACTTCCTTACCAGTAAACATTCTTTAAAGGGAGATGACTTCTTTACCACTGTCTCCCATCAGCTAATGCACATTCAGAAAATACAAAGTGACTCTGAATATTGCCCCAAGTTTGATTAGAAAAGGAAATTTTTGGACTTGGTATAATAGTTCAGTGGCTAAATCCTCATTTTACATACCCTGGGATCTCATATGGGCACCAATTCATGTCCTGGCTAATCCACTTCCCATCCAGCTCCCTGCCTATGACCTGGGAAGGCAGCAGAGAATAAAAGTTTTGGGACCCTGCACCCATATGGGAAACCCAGAAAAAGCTCCTGGCTTCATATTGGCTCAGCTCTGGCCATTAGGGCTACTTGGGGAACAAACCAATGGATGGAAGGTCTTTCTCTTTGTAAATCTGCCTTTCCAATAAAAATAAATAAACTTAAATTTTTTTTTCATGCAGAAAAAAATTCTAAAGACAAATGATGTTTCTGTGCTGGCCGTAGCACTGTTCTTCCACCACCACGGCTTTATAGAGTATAGCAACTTTTTTTTGGACACCAATGACACTGACTCACAAGATTCAGATGTGTTACAAATATTACTTTAACAAAATAGCAAAATAGTTTTTACTCAGTATCTAATTTTTCATTTCAATTCAAGTACATTCTAGGAAGCATAAACAGAACCGCACCTGGAGGATAACCAAAATCTCGGCGTTGTCCTTCTCTAACGCTATGTCAAAGGCGGACTTATCAAACTTGGAGAAAGCATGCACATCAGCTCCATATTTGATAAGTAACTCTACCACCTCCCGATGGTGGTGCTCTGTGGCCCAATGCAGAGCTGTCATCTTCAGCATGTCCTTGGCATTCACATCTGCACCATTCTGCCAGAAAAAAGCAATTTGTCAACAGACACTAGTTACAGCAGCACAGGTGCAAGATCCCATCACCAAATACAGAGGACTTCCATATCAATTACATACACTTAAATTTAGATCACATTTAACGAATATGAAAAGAAAAAAACACTTGCTCAAAATCTCCTGAATGCTGACAGACTAATGCTCTCAATGAGCAGGTCTCCTAAGGACATCATCGGGAAATGGTAACAGATGGGATAGGAAGAAGGAAAGAACAGATTTTTTTGTTGCATGTATAACAGACAGCTGAGTGCCTGAAAAAACAAGCGTAAGTGCAGAGACCACCTGCAGAAAAGGAATGAAGAAAAACCAACAAGTCTATTTAGTTCTTTAAAAATTAGACAACAAACTCTTCATAGTCATGATACCTCTTAAAAGAAACGCAACTCAATGTTATAAACTTAGTATCTTCAATTTAATCCTAATTGACCAAGTTTCCTTCCACTCATTTAAGAAAGAAAACAGGGAAGCGGGTGTTCAGATTTTGTTTTTAAACAACAAAGCTCTGCCACTGTCCTTGTTTTACCCTAACAAGCAGTTCCACGATGTGTGCGTGTCCGTCGGCTGCAGCCATGTGCAAGGGGGTCCTGTCCACTTTGGTCCGGGCATCCCTGCTTACGCCCGCTCGAAGGAGCACTTCTGCTGTGGAATAATGCCCGTACTGGGCTGCAAGGTGGAGGGGTGATGTTCCAAGCTGTGGGAAAATAATATTCATTGAATACCCACTGTGTACAGAGGCCCAGACGATTCCTGGGTATACATGAATGAGAGGTGAACTGTACAGTTCCTGGCCCTGGAGAGAAACTGTAGTTAGGCAGGCAGGATTGATGAAACGATTTACTTTAAAAATTAACAATGGCAATGAACAACAACAGCAACAAAATACACCACCAATTAAATAACTGCAAAGCAGAATGGCTTTAAGTCAGACAGATTTATCAGGATAGATTCCCTAAAGGACATGTTTTTACACTAGGCTTAGAAGCTGGCTAAAAAATAAAGAATCCAAAACAACATTCTGTGTCAGGGAAGAGAGAAGGGGAGGTAGGTTCAAAACAATTATTTAGAAAAAGACAGAATAGAAAGCTTTGTGTGATATTTGAGCTACAAATTTCACTGGTTCGAACACAAGTTTGTTGCCACAGTGAAGCAGAGCAAAAACGCAAGGCAACAAATGCTTAGCAGTGACCAGCCTGTCAAGAGTGAAAAAGCAGGCCCAGCGCAATAGTGTAATGGTTAAGGTCCTTGCCTTCAACGCCTGGGATTCCATATGGGCCCTGATTCTAATACCAGCAGCTCCACTTCCCATCCAGCTCCCTGCCTGTGGCCTGGGAAAGCAGCCGAGGACAGCCCAAAGCTTTGGGACCCTGCACCCGTGTGGGAGACCCAGAAAGAAGTTCCTGGCTCCTGATCGGCACAGCACCAGCCATTGTGGCCACTTGGGGAATGAATCATTGGACGGAAGATCTTCCTCTCTGTCTCTCCTCCTCTCTGTACATCTGCCTTTCCAATAAATAAATAAATAATAACAATGCATTAAAAAAAAAGAGTAAAAAAGCACATCTGTGTCGCATCTTAACGTGGATCTCTGGAGTTATCTCTCAGCACTTTGGCCTTTGTTACATCCTTTAGAAAAAAAAAGAAAAAAGAAAAAAAGAAAACCAAGCTTGTCTGTTCTTTTCCTCTATTCCCCCTGCTGTCTAACGGGATTGGATGCACATGGCTCTTCTTAGGCCTATGTGCAGAAAAGCTAATCTCCTCAAGTTACTTCTCTTCTTCTCTATGAAGTGCTAAAAACTGGTTGGTGTTTGAAATTATGAATTAATCACATCCGAATAGAGGTCACTCACTGATCAAAAATGTGAAAACGAGGCAATGCTTATGGAAATCTGTGACTGCTTTTAAAACCACATTACAACTTGAACCTGGAATTTCTGCAGTTCTCTGGTCTCCTAGCGGCTTGTCAACACTCCATAAATGGAAGCTTCCTCTTTCCTGCCTTGTAAGAGTGGTAAAGGAAACAAACATATATACCCTTCCTTGTCAGCCAGAGCATACTAGACAAAAGAAACAAGGAGCTTATTAGTTTGGAAATACACTCTTATGACACTGATTTTGGTTAATTTCTGGATAATTACAGAAGCCTGCAACCCAAACAGACTCCAGAGAGAATTAAGCCTTTAGAAAATATCCTTAAAACATTATGGAAATATAAAATACCTTACAATTGCCACCTAGATATCCACAGGAGACTCTTTGAATTCGGAAGAAGAAAGCCACTAACTCAGACGAGACCCGTAAAACTTTTAAAGGGCTAATAAGGTAGAAAAGGATTAAAAAAATGATTCTTTCATGATTCATAAGGCTAAAGATCGCATTTTCATGCCAATGTGTAAAATTTGCCACCCTCAAACAGTCTACAATAGTCTGCTTAATCTTTAAAAAAAAAAAAAAAAGACTGGTAACAGCATATTATCTTAAAAAAATGAAGAGATCTTTTTGCCAAGCTTACCCAGTCTGTGGTGAACGGGGCTCCATTTGCCATCAACGTTCTCACTTCATCATCTTGGCCTTTTCTGGCTGCTTCTAGCAGCCTCTTCCCCAAGTCCACCAAAGACATCTTTACACATAGGAACCAAAGTCCTCAGGGAGCTGTAACTTAAACACAAGGAAAGATGCCGGTAATACAGGTTTAAGTTTCTTGTGTACTTGAATATACCTGATACATGTGAACCTGGCTGTCTGATAGGTAACATGCAATCAGATGCTTGGGAAAGTTCCCCTAATGGATGGTTCCTTCACTTTCAATCTCCAGAAAAAAAAAACATTATGGAAATACACGTAATATTCTATTACCTTTCTAGATTAGACAATTGATAAAAACAGCATGTCACTGGCTTAAAATGACCAGGAACACACCATTACTTTGAGGAACTTGTATAAAGTAATGAAACATGCACCTGGTTTTCAAAGATCAGGAGGCCACCCTGGGGAGGTTCGCAAGTCTACGGACGGCAGAAAAAAGCAGGACAAATCAAGATGTCTAAGTCAAACTCCATCTGTTAATATTTCCTTTTCTTTTTTTAAAGATTTATTTATTTTTATTAGAAACTTAGATATAGAGAGGAAAATCTTCCATCAGCTTATTCACTCCCCAAGTGGCTTCAATGGTTGGAGCTGAGCCAATCCGAAGCCAACAGCCAGCAGCTCTTCCAGATCTCTCATGCAGGTGCAGGGTCCCAAAGCTTTGGGCCGTCCTCGACTACTTTCCCAGGCCACAGGCAGGGAGCTGGATGGGAAGTGGAGCAGCTGGGATTAGAATCGGGGCCCATATAGCATCCCGGTGCATACAAGGCGAGGACTTTAGCCACTAGGCTACAGAGCCAGGCCCTAACCTTTCTTTTAAAACTTCTGATTATATCCTGTTATGGCCTGGGAAAGCAAAAGAAGGTGGCTTAAGCCCTTGGTTCCTCACACCCACATAAGAGATCCAGAAGAAGCTCCCAGCTTTGGGTCTGCTCAGCTCCAGCTGTTGTGGTCATCTGGCTACTTAATCAGGGATGGATGGATGGAAGATCTCTCTCTCTAACTCTGCATTTCAAATGAAAATAAGTATTTTTAACAATCTTCTCATCACAATGTACACATAAATACTGGTAGAACTTGAAGGACAAGGCCCGGCAGAGTAGTTCGGCAGCTGAAGTCCTCACTCTGAATGTGCTGGGATTCCATATGGGCACTGGTTCTAACCCAGAAGGCCCTGCTTCTCATCCAGCTCCTTGCTTGAGGCCTGGGAGGGCAGTTGAGGATGGCCCAAGGTTTTGGGATCCTGCACTTGTGTGGGAGACCCAGAGGAGACTCCAGGCGCCAGGCTTCGGATCAGAGCAGCTCTGGCCATTGCGGCTGCTTGGAGAGTGAGTGAATCAGTTGACCAAGGATCCTCCTCTCTGTATATCTGACTTTGTAATAAAAAAACAAATAAATTTAGGACTGATGGCTTGTCCTAGTGGCTAAAGTCCTCACCCTGCACGCGCCAGGATCCTATATGGGCACTGGTTCTAATCCCAGCAGCCTAGCCTTCATTCCAGCTCCCTGCTTGTGGCCTGAAAAAGCAGTTGAGGATGGCCCAAAGCTTTGGGACCCTGCACCAGCGTGGGAGGCCTGGAAGAGGCTCCTGGCTTTGGATCGGCATAGCATCAGCTGTTGCGGTCACTTGGGGAATGAGTCATCGGGCAGAAGATCTTCTTCTCTGTCTCTCCTCCTCTATGTATATCCAACTTTCCAATAAAAATAAGTAAATCTTTAAAAAAATTTTGGGGGGCCTAGGGCAGTGACCTAGCAGCAAAAGTCCTCGCCTCGAATGCACCGGGATCCCCTATGGACGCCGGTTCTGATCCTGGCAGCTCCACTTCCCATCCAGCTCCCTGACTGTGGTCTGGGAAAGCAGTCCAGGATGGCCCGAGGCCGACCCTGCACCTACATGGGAGACCTGGAAAAAGTTCCTGGCTCCTGACTTTGGATCGGCGCAGCACTGGCCATTGTGGTCACTTGGGGAGTGAATCATCAGATGGAACATCTTCATCTGTCTCTCCTCTCTGTATATCTGACTTTGCAATAAAAATAAATAATCTTAAAAATTTTTTTTGAAAGTCAGTAAGCCTCTACTGATCAGAAACTAATCTGCGTAAGCCAGCTGAACGAAAACTACTTTTCCAGGACAGCATTGCAGAGCAACAGGCAAAGCTGCTGTTTGCAACACCTGCATCCCAATCTGGAAAGCCACTCTGGATGGAGATCCTGGCTCCTGGCTTCAGCCTGGCTCAGCCCTTCAGGGAATGAAACAAATGAAGACATTCCCCCTTTCAAATAAACAAACAAATCTTAAAAAATAATAGACAACAGGGGTGGGAGGGAGAGAAGAAAAGGAAGGAAGGGAATAACACTATGTTGTCTGAATTGTAAAAACAAATCACACTGATTCTGTTGGAAACTAGTTAAAGGGCCCGGCATAGTAGCCTAGTGGATAAATCCTCACCTTGCATGCATCAGGATCCCATTTGGGCACAGGTTCATGTCCCGGCTGTTCCACCTCCCATCCAGCTCTCTCCTTGTGGCATGGGAAAGCAGTAGAGGACGGCCCAAAGCCTTGGAACTCTGTACCTGCATGGGAGACCAGAAAGAAGCTCCTGGCTCCTAGCTTCAGATTGGCTCAGCTCTGGCCATTATGGCCACTTTGGTTTGAGCCAGCGGATGAAAAATCTTTCCATTTCTCCTGCTCTCTGTATGTCTGCCTTCCCAATATAAATAAATAAATCTTTAAAAAAAACATTAAAATTAACATTAAAATTTAAAAAACAAAGAGTGTGCAGAACCAGCTCCATGGTGCAGTTTAATAATGGAATGTACGTTTTAACTCCCAGCTGCTCAACTTCCAACCCATCTCAGGAAGCAGCAGGGGGTCAGGTGTTGTGGAATTGCACGTTACGTTGCCATCTGTGTTGTTGGCATCCGATATGGACACTGGTTTGAGACGTGGCTCTTAACTTCTGATCCAACTAATGTGTCTAGAAAAGCAGTGAAGGATGCTCCAAGTGCTTGAGATCTCACACTCTCGTGGGAGATACCCACACCCCCCCCCCAACTCAGCTACAGTACCTGCTGCTGTGTGTGAGGGCTGGGTCTGTGGCTGGTCAGCCTGGAGGAGGAAATGACCAGGCAGCTGCATTTATCGGTATGTGCAATGGCTATGCATTAGCTGATATGGAAGACAGATCGAACCTGACCTCGCACTAGCTGGAGCACACCAGAGTCAACCCTAACGTGCCAGACGAGGTGTTTCAACAAACTCCCCAACTAGATAGTTGGATGCCAATCTCAGCTTCAGAGAAAATGACAAGAAATGTGATCCAATCTTGGGATACATATCAGGACTGGGCCTCCTCAGCTGCTCACACCCATGCAACAGAAAGATATCCAGATGTACATGAAACACATGACAGCCAGCTCAACTAAGCCAACAGAGGACACTGACTGCCTCATCAGAAGATGGAAGGCAGACAGGTTAAACAACTGCCTGGTCAGGCTTTGCAACAAATGTCCAGTTTATGGATACACTGAAGCAGATCTGGTCAGCCAACAGACCACAGATTTTCTCAAGCCTAGAACATTAAAGTCTACAACTCCTCAGAACTATCAGGACCACTCAAGCAGCACCCTTGGGACATTCTTCCCACACTGGGGTCTCTAAATGACCATCTCCATCACCAGCACTGATGAACCTTGACAGCAAGGAGCAGGTTCCCCTTACCCTTTTGCCCCCTCTCCCAGACACAGGAGAGGAGAAAAAGAAGAACTGAAACATTTATCTCACCTCCCTTCCTACACACCTCCACCCTCTCCACCCTAAACAGAGGTCCACATGAACATGCTTTCCTCTGAACTATGTAAATATTAGAAATAAAAATTAAACCTAAAAACAATTTTTTAATTTGCATAAAAGTTAGCTTATATTTTGCTTTCATTTTTCCATGAAAATTTTCAATCATCATTTTTTATGTGACAACATGGAAACTACACAGAGCAATTCTTTTTTTTTTTTAAAGATTTATTTATTTATTGGAAGGTCAGATATACTGAGAGGAGGAAAGACAGAAAGGAAGATCTTCCGTCCGATGATTCACTCCCCAAGTGACCGCAACAGCTGATGCTATGCCGATCCAAAACCAGGATCCAGGAACTTCTTCCGGGTATCCCACACGGGTGCAGGGTCCCAAAGCTTTGGGCCATCCTCGACTGCTTTCCCAGGCCACAAGCAGGGAGCTGGATGGAAGTGGAGCTGCCGGGACTCGAACTGGTGCCCATATGGGATCCCAGTGCATTCAAGGCGAGGACTTTGGCCGCTAGGCCACGCCATCAGGCCCAGCACTTCATTTTTTTAAAAATTTATTTATTTTTATTGGAAAGGTGGATATACAGAGAGGAGGAGAGACAGAGAGGAAGATCTTCTGTCCATTGGTTCACTTCCCAAGCGGCTGCAATGGCTGGAGCTGAGCCAATCCAAAATCAGGAACCAGGAGCTTCCTATGGGTCTCCCACGCTGGTGCAGGGTCCCAAAGCTTTGGGCCATCCTTAACTGCTTTCCCAGGCAGGAGGGAGCTGGATGGGAAGTGGGTTTGCCAGGACTAGAACCAATGCCCATATTGGATCCCTGCATGTTCAAAGTGAGGCCTTTAGCCACTACGCTATCGCGCCAGGCCCTGTGGCACAGGGGGTTAAGCTGTCACCTGTTACTTCAATGTCACAAATAAATGCCAGTTCAAGTCCAGCCTCCACTGCTTCTGTCCAGCACACCTAGGACAGCTGTGGAAGGTGGCCCAAAAGTGTGGATCCCTGCCGCTCACACTGGAGACCTCAACGGAGTTTGTGGTTCCTGGCTGTTGCAGTCATTTTGGAAGTGAACTGGTAGATAGATTACTCTCTTGCCCCCTCTATGTAGCTCCTCCTTTCAAATAAATACATCTTAAAGGAAAAGCACACCACACTTCTGCTTATTGTGAAATATAATGGTTCTCTTGAGAAAAAAGCACTGTAAAATCTATACAATTGAATCGCTTTTCTTATGGATTATATGTATTTTAACAAAGAATGATGAA